TGGTGGACCAGAATCGACATTTTTGGGCATTCTAATGTAGTTTAAAAGTCAAATCGCATAACGATATCTTGATTCACTTAAAAGATACAGTGAGTTTTTTATTTTTTTTTTTGTTTGAAAATATTTGATTTTGTTTGCTTCTAAAGAAATTGTTTACATTTTTACACTTTTATATAAAAAAATCTCAAAGTGAAAAAGTTCGCTCATTTTTTCCTTATTTTCCTGGACTAATTAGTCGGATATATCACCTCATATATCCAGAAAAATCCTCAATATATGCTTTGTAATGGCTAGATAAAACATGGCCTACTTTCTCGACAGATTGCACAAAATATGACAGCGAGCCCTGGTGTTCGATCCGACAACCAAATTGCTTAGTTTGTGTTTGTGTTCATTTTTACCTCGTTCCGGATATAATTGACGCGACATAATTCCGCACAAAAGACCGATTCCATTCCGAATTGGAAAACATGCACATAATGGAGTTGTTTTATTTATTATAGATGGAACTGTCAGGGATCAATATGGCGCGGGTATCCCGATTTTTACGGCGTCGGTAGTAAATAATCAACTCGCCTTGTACGGGTTGTAGATTGTCATTTGTCGGGTCCGATTTATGGGACTTTTCAAACAATAAATCGAATCGAAAAACGGTTCGGATTGTCTTTCCCTGAAAACGGTTTAAATCCGTAATCATCTACCAAAGCTAAAATACTTCCTGGAATTGTACCGGTTAAGGAATAATGCAGGAAAAGAAAACAGCAGAAGGATAACCGCAACTTACTTTTCATTCTTCATGTAAATAAGGTATAAACAATCAGAGGACAATTTGTTTATCAGTAACATACAAAAAATGAGTCTGGTTTGTCTGTATCAAGCGATATCTGCAAGAAATTTCACATGAATTAAAAAAAATAACTAAATAAAGATAATTGATTTCAAAATTGTTAATAGCAAATTATTTGTTACAATTTTGTACTCACGAGTGATACTGAAACCCAAGAGACTTTTATTGTATGTCCAAGGATGACAGTTAAGAAACAACTAATATTAACCCAGTAAATGTCGGGGGAAAAAAATATAAGAAACCAATAAATTCTAGGCAACTTTTACTGACATATTATAATATTAAAATATAAATTTTGGATGTGTATTTGTGTGTTTTTGGTTTAGATTGTATTTTTAATTAAATTGTAAATAGTATCATGCACACCTCTACTATATTTTTTTATGTTTTACCTTGTACTTTATCCCTGGCTAGTTGTTGGTAGATACTTGTTATATAGACAATCTTACACACTAGTACAATGCAACACACTTTGGAATGAATAGAGTTTGAAATTTAATAAAGTGTTTATTCAAAATTTTGTTATATTATTTTTTTTTGACTTGAAGACTATAAACTGAAATTTATGAATACCTTTTTTATATAGAATATGTTTTCCGTAATAAAAAATATTTTTAACAACAAAATTCGCCTTTTTCTGCTTAGCTTACAAATAATATAAGGAATAATTAAAAAAATTCTATTAATTAACTTTATCTATGCAATCTGGAGTAGATTTCCTTATATTATTTGTTGCCTATCATTCGGGGGCATCCTTACATCTAAACAAGAATGAAAATTAGTCTGAATTAAATAAATTGCTGTTCATTTGACAGATTTTGTCAGAGCTCTTCGAAATATTGTATTATTTAAGTTTTTAGTGATTGGATTCTGCTTATTTTTGTACAGGTAAGTAAGTTGTGGTTTGTTATTTATACTTTGCAAAGATTTGATGTGAGAGAAAGCATGATTTATTTGGAATAGATAGCGATATTTTAGTGCAATGGTTTTAGGTATCTGTTACGTTGTGAAATTTGTAGTTTTCTTCGCTGGAAACTACGTAGAAGCCTTGCAGACTATTTATGGAGGCACTGGAAACTACCTTGGAACTGCTTTCTACTGCTGGTAGCGGAACGGAAAATTTTCATGGGTTGCCAAAATAACTTTTTCTGGACACTGGCAAACTATAGATTTACTGATAAGTATTTAATTTTCTTCCTTGGACTCTTTCTTCTTGTTTCTGCAAAACTCAAGCCGTAACCAATCAATAATTTCTTTATTTCTCGCCACCTTCCTGATTATTCTGTCCCTAGCTTTGCTTAAGGTCCATCAACAGAAATTTTCAGTCTTTGGATGTCCTTTTTAAACACTTTTTCACACCACTACTTATAACTAACACATTTTTAACAAATGTCCTTTTACTTTTATTTACAATTCTATAAATTATTTACTAAAATATTCTTTATTTTATATTTTTTTAGGTCATCTCTGGGTATTCTTACAAAGCCTCCTTTAGTTTTGACATTTGTGACATTTATTATAAAATTACAACTGTAAGTTCGGTCAGGGAATATTTTCATCTGAGTTTCTACATTAACATTTCAAATTTGTTACAATAATATATATTTTTTCAACCAGCTTGTATCGTAGGTTATATCTGAACCCAGGTTTTCCGGATAAAATGTGCATAATTGATTTATTGCAAAATTTTTCTGGGATTGAGGCTGAATAAATCGAGGAAAAATCCCGTCCAGATATTTTTTCCAAAGGTTTATTAAGTCAAAAACAAATGTAACAAGCTCGGGGGTCGCCCCCATGAAAAGTAAATGTCGAATTTCTCAAACCCCCTGTACAATAACTTAATTAACTCCTTAAGAAATGTCGCGGTAACGGCGGGTCTCCGCCGAGTTGATCGAGTTCGGTCAGCCGCACCGGGGGGTCCTCTTTATCCTCAGTCAGGATAAATGCCGGTTTGTTTCGCTTTCGGCCGCCGCCATAGCGACGTCCGAAACGTATAGATCAGCGCCGCGACGTATGGTAAAAGGAACAGGTAATATATGAGGCGAGTCGGACTAAACCGAGATTAGTGGCAATGGGAAATTGCGTTATAAATCTGTGCCTGTGAGTTATGCCTACGGGCTCGGGCTTTCTTCTCGCCCGACACGTGACTGATAGAATATAGAGTCCATTTTTTACCGCGGAAGCGGAAAGTGGGCGTTTATCTGCTGGTTTTGATACCGTCTTATAACGGGAAATGTGCCTTAGTCATGATTGTTTTAAAACAAGAGAGCAATGTACTCGCAAATATTTGTGAAATTTTTTAACAATATTTTGAATTATTAAAAGGTGGATTTATTGAAATTTTGTTAATTATATTAAGGAGGTCCCAGGGAAGTGAGGAGCGCAGGGGGAGTCCTATGCTTTTCTTATGGGACTAAAGCCCGCTGCCAATTTGAAAAAATTAAATTCTTTTGAAATTATTTGCAATAAACATTATCTATATAGCAAATAAATCTACTCATATGCACATAGCATACATATTGACTAATTAACAACATAAAAATATCATATTTAGGTAGTTTTAAATTATATTTAATGAACGCTTAAAGACTATGTAGACGTGGCAACAGCGCTAATAATTGACTAGCAGTTGTACACACTGCGAACCTACAGACCTCGGACATCGGAGATATTGCGCGTCAAATTCTGGTAAAGATGCGTACGCGTTCAAAAATGTATTGTGTGTAAACTATGTACAATATAATTATTATATATATCAAATATATCGTATTATCCTCGGGAAGATTTGTATCCTTNAATAATTATGTCTAGGTAACTAATTTAATTAATCTCCATCAAAATGATTTCTTTGTTCAAAAAACTTATATGTACATTTTATTTTATAAACTATTGTAACTATTTTATAAAAAAATGGTAACTGTACAATGAATGCATAAATTTTTGCTTGTTTTTTTAAATTAAAATTTGCGATCTTGTTTTGACAAACAGTTTACACATAGTTTTGCTCTTGAAAAAACAATTAAACCAATTTTAAAAATATTTATCAACGCGTTTATTAAAAGATTGTCTTGTTGTACCTAAAGTATAAATCCTTAATGCCAAATGACTTTGCAGCATTTAAAACCTGCTGCCAAAGTTCTAAACAGGTGTAGGTATATATAGTAGGATCGTATACGATGCAAAGTAGAGCAAAAAATTGTCGGCCTTTTATCAAAGGTAAATCGTGTCATCATTTTTATGAGGCGTAAGATAAGTCATTTCAAATTTAAAATGAAATTCAATGTAAAATCTGAAATACCGCTGCATACGCACTNATGTATTCCCTCCTTGCTGTCAGCTGATTGCGCGACGTTGCCACATTAATCCTCAAGTCAGACAGAAATGCAATTATTGGTTTCTGTTTCTAATTAATACAGCTGCACTATGTTCAAAGCTTTCATTAATTTTACATAAAAAATAAGATAATACTGTGTTCTATCTATGGAAAAGTTTTGTTTCACAATTTTTACATTTTTTTCTTAGTTATGGGCAAAAAAAGTGCCGCACCGTCCATCTTCGCCATATAAACCTATGTTAAAATGAACAACTTTCAACAACAATATCTCAAAATCTAGATTAAAAAAAAATTTCAAAAAAATATGACGCACATAGGAAGCACTGGGTAATACGCTATATAATTTCAAGTACATCTGTGCATTTGAGTAAACCCGATGTACCTCCTTAAATGACTTTGATTTATGTTATTTAATGCAAATAATGCAAATAAGAAATTTCGATTGTACTGGCCAGGTTTCGATCCTGGTTATCGAATTGCTAGGCACCAACGTCGATGTTCGATCACTCTCCTTGATGGGTCCGTAAAGATCCTGGAGCGAGGTTCGTCTTAGGTTTGGATGATTGGCTTCTCTAGATTTTGCCCATCCTTGAATTGTAATCGCCTTGAACGGGTGATGGACTTGTAGTGTGACATGGTAGTGTGATTTTGTATTGCGGTTCCTCAGTTCGAATTTCCCATTTTTTTTTTGGGATTTTTATTTTCGAAATTCGAAACTGCCATGATTTACTAGTTCCACGGCAAACTTGACTGTATAAGGTTGTTACAAAAGTATCAAATTGATTAACTCTTAAATCTGAACTTATACCATGCAGGGAATTAATTTGCTTCGGATTTATTCAAAGGTTTATTAAAAAAAGTATATACATAAATATATTTACAATGAAACTTACGCCAATTCAATTAAAACATCATCATCGCTGACTGTATCACCTGGATGAATATTGATAGACTTTATGGTTCCGGTCGTTGCTGCAACCATTGAATTTTGCATTTTCATGGCCTCTGTAACATAATAGTTATTTCAGTTGAGGGTCGTAATAACAATTATTATTATAATTTTATTTGCTGACAATTAAAATTCTTAAAAATTTAATTTATTTATCTAATTGACCTTGAAAATACTAAGCCAATTTATTGTATCATTAACAACGTCCGAATTGTCTATATACAGGGTGTTCAACCTAAGAGGGATTCTTCTGTAACTCTGCAACTGTAAAATTTATGAAAAAATGGTTTTAATAAAAGTTGCTTGGAATCATGTGGACTTTTATTAAGACCATTTATTTTTATAAATTTTACAGTTACAGAGTTACAGAAGAATTTCTTTTTAGGTGGAACACCTGTACCTGAACACACTGTATTGTCAAACAATATTTCTAATGCACCAAAATAGCGTCTCTGAATTTATTATTGAATAAACAGAGCCTTCAGAAATGTTTACAAGTCACGTGACAGCCCAACATTGCACGATTGCATTGGTAATAAATATGTCAAAAATGAAATATTATTTAAAGACAAAACTGATATGAGATCCAAATACTTATTTTTATGAGCATCTTCCTCACCTATGACGCACAGTTCCTGCCCTTCGGCCACCACGTCGCCGACACTGCAGTTCACGCTCTTCACCAGCCCAGGCATGGGCGACCGCACCTGTTTGGACACGTCCAGCTTCATTTTCTCCGGCATTAAGTGAAGATAATCAGCCGATCTCTGCGAAAGGATGAAGAGTTTGTAGTTTGTACCCCGGTATCTGCAACGGAACTGACAATTACAACTGTCGTTATCGATCTGTTTGTACGCCTACATAATTTGATAGTCCCCACTAGCGTTTTTCGAAAACGGTTGGAAGACGTCGTCCTCGCCGTTGATCTTCACGTGTAGTAACGGTTTGGCTAAGTTTATATCATCTTTATTTATTTTGTACTCTTTTCCATCAATGGTGATCACGAACTGGCCGTTGTCCTGTGAAACCTCGAGTCTAAATTTATTTTGGTCGAATTCGATGTACAGCTTCCATTTGTCCAAGAGCTTACCTTTGATAACATGCTTTGGAGCGTTCAGGAACTGCCTGCTACGTATCACGTTGGTTGCGTATATAGCTGATGCTACCGCTAGCAACTTGTACTTGTCTTCTTCAGGTAACTTTAGACCTAAAAGACGCAACTTTAGAGTTATTTGAAGGAAAAGGGGTAATCTTTACCTTTGAATCCTTCTGGGTAGACCTCAGGTAGGTAGTTCGTGCTGATGTCGCCTTTCCGGAATCTTTCTTCCGTTAATATATCTCTAAGGAGCGGTATGTTGTTCGTGACGCCTCGTATCACGTACGAATCCAAGGCTTTTATGCTGCGTTCGATCGCTTCGTTTCTGTCTTTTCCGTAGCACACCAGCTTGCATATCATCGGGTCGTAGTAGACGCTTATTTCGCTGCCTTCCTCGATGCCGCTGTCGCACCTTACGCCGGGTAAGTGCGTTGGCTCGATGTACTTGTACAACCTCCCTAAAAACATCTATATCGTGAAAAAGGAATAAAGGAACTTATTTTGCTGCAATGACTTGGGACTTAGACTAAGTACTTGTTGTATGAAATGTATAGATGTAGTCTGCAAAATGTACTAGTATGTGCTAGGTACTATATCTTTGCACTGTATTTACCCTCTATACATTTTCGTACTAAACACACTATATCTCAGTGCCAAAATAGAGAGAACAGTTATAATTAAATCAAACCGCTGACAAAATAGTTTTGTATTTCTCTGCATGGAAAATGTAATGTGCTGTTCATTTCGCATAGTGTTCACTTTGAGCTTGCGCACTTGGAACGTTCTATTGTTACAAACGCCTACTTGCTAAAGTTGTTTCGTTTGAGAGTACTAAATTTCTATAAAATCTTACAAGGTATTTCAAAATTATATTTTTTTTTGTCTACTTTGATGCTCTCTAACAGCTAAACGAAGCAATAATATTATACAGTTTCTTTGATTATAAAGGCGTCGAGTAATAACTCGGTTACCAATTTTTGAACACCCCGTAAAGTATACAGTGTGTCCAATATAAGGGTGGGATAGCATTAGGATCTAGGAAACGGTAAGATATACGGGGTGGTTAAAAATAGAAAAAAGTTGTGTTTTTTTATACCTAACGTTATGCCGTTTAGAAAGTTTTAAAATTTCGGGTAGTTCCGGAGATATCCGGAAAAACCCGAAATTTTGTAAAATCATTTTATTTTTTTTCTGTGTTTATTTGAAAACGAATTTTAAAATAAATTGCATATTTACATTGCCACTTTCTTCGCTCTATCCAATGGCGTCAACATTTTTGCAATTCGACGTTTCGTCTTCAAGGGGCCATCATCAGGTTAATTTTTTTAAATACGTCGCTGCTATTTTTATGACAAAATCTAAAGCCATTTTTAATTCTGAATTAGATGATATTACTATTGTCGCTTAAAAAGGTTTTTAGCTTGTTTTAGCAATCATTTAAAATTTTTCCTGAGTACGGCTCTGAACGGTTTCAAATTCTATTGGAGTCAAAATAGTGTAAAAGTCAATACAGCACAAAATATCCAACATTTTTTTTTTGTCGATAATTTAAAAAGTTGTACCTAATAAAAAAATAATACGAATTGTCTATACATTTCACTGGAAATCAACGTCGACATCACATGAAGTATAAAGTAAAATTGTGACTATCACAACAAAACTAAACTTCTGTAACAACAAAATGCTGTTTAGCGGCACCCAACAAAGTTGACAAACTACAAACATTTATATCACAGTAATTAGAGGTATTATTAAAATTAGACATCATCACATATATCGGTGATTTAAGTAATATGTTAGTGCAGGTGGTGGGACATTTTAATGTTATGGCGTGGCGAGAATCTGGGTACATAAAAATCGATCTGAGAAAGTAACGGTACCTATGGTATTATGTAATAATTTAAACAAAAAACTATAACTGTACGTAATTCTACGATATTTCAATGACTCCATATTTGCTATATTCAATAAAAATTCTTGGCTAATTCCTCTTTCAGGATATATTTAATACATCTTTAAATTTAGAAATTTTAAGAATCTTCTCTGAACTGACTCCAGAGAGTTGGAATGTGCTTGATAAAATGGAAAGAATACTAGTGAACAATATTCTAATTTCAATGTAACTAAAGAAAGATATAATGTCTTTAACACGTTCATGTTAGAAAAAGATTTACAATTGCGAATAATGAATCCTAACACTTTAATATATATGCTGATTAAAAGACAACTTGGTGTCAAATGTGATACATAAATCTTTAACTGTTTTTAAACTTGTAGATCTTCGATGTATTTAATGCCAAGTTGTTAATATTACACCATTCAGCCAATTTAACAAGTTCATTTTGCAATACGTCACAGTCTTCATGTGTGTATATGGAGTTATAAATTTTTAAATCGTCTGCATATAAAAGTTGGTTACAGTCAATGAGATCAGCTAAATCATTTATAAATATATTAAACAGCAGGGGTCCAAGATTTGACCCTTGTGGCACACCCGAAGTTGAGACATAACTATTTGACGTAAAACCATTGCATGCGATGTATTGCAATCTCTCATATAAATAAACTTTCAAAAAACTTTATTAAAAGGTAAATCAAAGCCAGAGTTTTTTCAGTAAAATTTCATGTTGTATTCGATCGAAGGCCTTTGAGAAGTCCGTGTATATCACATCAACTTGACCGTGTGTATCCAATGTCTGAGATATAAACTGAGTCACTATAATTAAATTAGATACTGTTGATCTGTGACTTAAAAAAATCCGTGTTGAAATTGGGACATATAAATGACTAACAAGTGGAAATATACTATTATACACAGTCGTCTCCAACACGGTGGATTCTTCGAACGATTACTTTAAATAATTATTACGTATTTCATTTGTTTTATTGTTATTTGTTGTAATAACATGAAGAAACACTTAGTTTGTTTTGCTTTTAACTTCTCGTATTATTAAAATATAGTGTTCGTTAAATCGATTTTTCTCGAAAACGGATCGAGATACTGACATGAAACAAGAGTACATAATTAATGGAAAAAAGGTTGCTCTTTCAGGTTTTGAATCAAGTTTCATGTTAGACATACAGAGTAAAAAGTTATTTACTAAATTTTTGGTAAAATTGGTCGTAAGTGGCGCCCTCTATGAGCAACACTGAAATTGCACGCATCTTATTTGTTGCTTAAAAAAATATAGTTTCACAAATTTTCAAGTTCCTAACCTACATGTTTTCAGAATAATCGCAAAAAAACGATTTAAAATTTTAACTTTCAACATCCTGTATTTTCGAAACTTTTAACTTTCGGATACGACATGTTTGCGCCAATGGTCACCATTTCATGTGTAGTATCTTCAGCTTTCGATTTTCCCATTGTTAATGTATACTTTATAGGGTATCCAAAAATGGGTAACCGAGTTATAGGTCGGCCTTACAGACTGTATGTTGAGAATGAGTGCCTACTATTTTGGGTCTAGAGTGTATGGCGGTTTATGGGAGACCAACGGCTTACCTATGCTGGGAAGGCCGAAGTTCTTGTAAGGATCCTCAGCGTACACTCTGCTCTCTATGGCCCATCCGTTAATTTTGACGTCCTTCTGCGTGATCCTTAGCTTGTGTCCCTTGGCAACCCGGATCATTTGCTGCACCAGGTCGATCCCAGTGATGCACTCGGTGATGGGGTGTTCTACTTGTAACCTAGTGTTCATCTCCAAGAAGTAAAAGTTGCGGTCGCCATCAACGAGGAATTCTACGGTACCCGCTGAGGAATACCCCAATTTTTTGCACAAAGAGACAGCCTGTTCACCCATGGCTTTCCTGGTATTTTCATCTAAGAAGACGCTGAATCAAGAATATACAGGGTGACCCATTAAGAATGGAAACAATCGCGTACAAAAGTTGTTTATGGACCGATTTGAACTGGTTTTTTTTTAAAGATAGACCTCCAAAAGCTCTATCTTGATGCAAAATTTGAAGACGAAATTTTGATTTTCAAGGCCTACTACGAATTTTTTTGTAAGTGAAAAATAGCAAAATTTTGTTAGCGATTTTTTTATAAAAAATCTGACTTCACCACTGGATTTAGGAACCCCTCAAATGCATTTGTACCAATTTTTGCAAAAAAAAGTTTGCCCGTAAAAAAGTTATGACACTATCGGCATCACCAGTGTTTGCCGTTGTCGGTGAACCTATTCTTTTATAAAAATCGAATATAAACCCATAGGGACACAAAATTAAATAACAAACACTGGTTTAATAATTATTAATAATAATCATAAAAACCAGTATACACAAAATAAACAACAATTACTCTAATATAAACAACAATTGATAAAAAAGTACCTAATGATTAAAAAATTACATTTTTAAAAATTAAAAAGGAGTCTGCCAAATACATTTTTCATAACGTTTTTTTATATTTTTTACAACATTTCAATACCTCCCAGTTATTTGGCCGTCTTATAAACTTTGGACTTAATAAAGCCCCACAGAAAAATATCAAGTGGGGTAAGGTCCGGAGATTGGGGTGGCCAATGAATTAATCGATTGTTTCGATCTATCCAATGATTGGGGAAATTCTCGTTAAGCCACTCCCTGACTTGTCTCGCATTGTGTATTGGACATCCATCCAGCTGAAAATGTAGATTTACTCTTTCTTGTAATGGAAGATTATCGACTGAATTAAAAAATTGTAGAAATTGTTCGCCATTCATATTCCCTTCAAAGAGGAACGGACCAATGACTCTCTCGTTAAGTATCCCACACCAAACGTTAACTTTCTGACTATATTGTCTTCGGCAATTAATTATCCACTCTGGATTTTCTGAAACCCAACACCGCGAGTTCTGTGATGATACAATGCCATTAGTCGTGAATATGGCCTCATCGCTGAATAAGATATTTTTTAAAAGAAATCGGTAATTGAGATATTGTCCCTGTGCCCAGAGACAAAACTCCATTCGTTTCTCATTATCGCCTAGTTCCAGAGTGTGAAGAAACTTAGGTTTATAGGGTTTTATGTTATTTTTTTTAGGCAGCGTCGGATACTATCTCTAGGTAAATTTAAATCTAAACTAGCAATCCTGAGGCTATTCTGAGGATTGTTTGTAAAATAATTTAAAATTTCCTGCTCGTGAATACGTCTTCTCTGTTGATTGTCCCTTTTTAAAATGCATTTTGATACAGCACCATATTCCATAAAAGTATTGTTTATTTTAAAAACTGTGCTATGCGTAATATTAGGTCTATCTGGATGTCTGTTGTTAAAAATTATACACACCTCTCTTGCCGTCCGATCATTTTCTCCAGAAAGGCGTACTATTTCAATTTTCTCATGTAAAGTTAAACTTTGAGCCATCGCAAAGAATTATGGAACTTATTTAACCATGCACAAAAAATATTACAATGTGCCACTACTTGTGAAGTTTGACATTTGTTGTCTAAACTTCTATTTTTCACAGCCTATCAAATTTTGTTCATATCATTTTTAGGCAACGTTATTTTCTGGAATATCTCGTAATATTTTTTTCAGAAAATTCTTCACAAATAATTGGATTATGGTTGTAGAATCCAGTGGCTTTTTGAATAAAAAAAATATAAATGTAATTATTTTTGTCTAAGAAGGTGATATATTTGTAAGTTTTGGCATAATAACCACGAAATAATAATAATTTAACGAACTTGTTGTTTATTTTACGTATACTAGTTTTTATGATTCTTATTAATAATGATTAAACCAGTGTTTGTTATTTAATTTTGTTTCCCTTTAAAAGAATAGGTTCACCGACAACGGCAAACGCTGGTGATGCCGATATTATCATAACTTTTTTAGGGGCAAACTTTTTTTCGCAAAAATTGGTACAAATGCCTTTGAGGGGTTCCTAAATCCAGTGGTGTAGTCAGATTTTTTATAAAAAAATCGCTAACAAAATTTTGCTATTTTTCACTTAAAAAAAGAATCGTAGTAGGCCTTGAAAATCAAAATTTCGTCTTCAAATTTTGCATCAAGATAGAGCTTTTGGAGATCTATCTTCAAAAAAAAAAACCCGGATCAAATCGGTCCATAAACAACTTTTGTACGCGAGTGTTTCCATTCTTAATGGGTCACCCTGTATGTATAGGGTGTTTAAGTAATTTTTTTACAAACATTAAATCGTTTTGGGTCGCTTTAATGTTACAGTTTCAGTGTTAACATTTTTCAACCATCAACAATTCCCATTTTTAATATATTTTATTTTTATTTGTTTACTATCCACTCCGAACAACAAATTTCCTAATTACAGTTTTGTAACGTCTTCTGATTTAGCACGATCATCGATCATTGCAAAACTTCGACCTCGCTTCGTTTTGATAATAATAAATGTTATCTCTACGCTAACTGGTTTAAAGCAATAAAATATTTTTTGATTTCACAATCCAAACAACTGAATTACTATATTCCTGACAAACAATAAATAACTAGTAGCAATAACCGAGTTTTATCTTAATGGTAGTTTAATTAATAATATATACGTCACATCGAACTAGTATATCAATTCATATATTTATATCAATAAACCAATTACGTCAGATGGAATTAGTATCAGTTAATAAAGTTAGTATGTCAATTTAATACTTGACAAAATGAAGTAAAATCTTTTTCGACGATTTTTTTTGAGCTGCTTTTTTAAAGCACATACCTGGGAGCTTCTTCTATGACTTTTTGGTTCCTCCTTTGGATGCTGCACTCTCTCTCGTTGAGGTATATGACGTTCCCATGTTGGTCCCCCAGGACTTGAATCTCTATGTGTCTAGGGTTGTCTATGAACTTTTCCACTAACATCCTGCTATCCCCAAAACTAGACAGAGCTTCTTGACTAGACAGCTTGAATCCCTCTCTAAAAGATAATATTTTGGCTAATGCAAAGTGTATTTTTTCCACCTAAGAGGGATTCTTCTGTAACTGTAAAATTTATAAAAAAATGGTTTTAATAAAAGTTGTCTGGAATCATGTGGACCATGTAAAGAAAATATTTTTAGCTTTACAAGGTGTTCCAATTCGCGTGAGCGCTATATAATGTTGTTATTTTAAATGGGACACCCTGTATATTACGTTTTTGAATTCCTTGGTTAATATTAGGTAGAGTTTATTAAATATACATAATGTTTAAAACGTACCGTTTTCGAGATAATTAGTTGTTTGAAAAAAAAATTACGATTTCAGCTCTCTAAATGAGGCTAGATATCGTCATAACCATAAGAGTTAGACACCTGCAGTTTTCACAGTTCGTTTTGGCATAAATTACCTTATCCTATCATCTGTGAGCAAAACTGTACGTTATTCAGACTCGGAAATCCTACATTTAATAATCTTGTTGTTGAAAAACTGAAAAACAACAAGTTGAAACAAGTTTCAACAAGTTGAAACAAGTTTCAACAAGTTGAAACAAGTTTCAACAAGTTGAAACAAGTTTCAACAAGTCGAAACAAGTTTCAACAAGTTGAAAAACTTGTTTTTCCAAATAGAATGACCCATATTAATTGTTATGGGTAAATGTAAAATTGAATGCCCTTTCGATTGATATAAGGTTGTCCATACTTATCTCTAACAGTTTTCCAGAAAAATCAGGTTCTTTTCTAAAGCCCGAAAAACCAGCTATACAATAGCGTCAAGAAGGCTTTGTAATTTTATTAGTACAACGTTGATACATAAGATTTTACAAAAGTACAGCACTGCTCATCCGTATCGTATCCAATTACACCAAGAGTTACTAAAAGTAGACATTCAGCGGAGACTGCAGTTTTGTCAGTGGGTACTTGAGATGTTAAATCAAGATAATGATTTTTTAAACGGTTTATGTTCTCCGATGAGGCTACTTTTCATAAAAATGGTTTCGTTAATAGTCATAATTGCCATTATTCTGACACAGTAAATCCTCACCAATTCCGGACAACTCATAGCCAATGATGGTCTTTGAACGTGTGGAGAGCAATTTTGGGAACCCATGTCATTGGACCATTCTTTTTTGACCAGCATCTAACTGGAGCAGTTTATTTAAACTTTTTAACAAACGCTCTAGAAGATTTGTTAGGCGATATTCCTTTAGCTACACTTCGAAGAATGTGGCTGCAACATGATGGTGCTCCACCTCACAATACCGTTGCGGTTCGTCGGTTTTTACACGAAACTTTTCCCAGATGGACTGGGCGCGGGGGACCAGTGAGTTGTCCTTCAAGGTGTCCAGGGACTCTATTCTTGAATTATAGGGAGTAGAAGAAACGAGAGAAAGGGGGCGTGTCTCTACTAAAACTCATTAATAGGTATTCTTGAATGGTGTTCTATTGAGTAATGATAGAACAATTGTTCCCTATTCCTTCTACTGATATTTTCGGGGGAACAGGCAGGGATCATTAAATTGTGACACTATATTTTTTGACATGTTTCAAAAATTACGAATTCCGCAATCTGTCTGATATCTTTAGTTACTATTTTGTGGTGATATCCTTCGAGAACTTTGAGGAAACGTCCGTAGAATTTGTGTTTATTTGAAGAATTGTACACGGATAAAATAATACTCGTAGAATAAAATGGATCTACCTAATATAGTATTGTGGGATGAAATAATGAACAATGTTGATGAAGGCGAGGAACTTTTAAACATTCGACGATAAGTTCTACCTAAGACAGATCCATTTATGCTTTCGGATCAAAAATTTGTTAAATTATTTCGGCTCTCTAAGCCTCTTTGCCGTTTTGTTTTAGTTGTTGTTAGTGGTTTACTTTTGTTTGTCAAATCACTTTCTGAACATGCCAGTAAACATTGACACTGTCAGTCCCAGGCCTGATAAAAGTGGTTTTGCAAGGCCTTCTTGACGCTTTTACTTACATAGCTACTTTTTCGGACTTTAGAAAAGAACCTGATTTTTCTAGAAAACTGTTAGATAAGTATGAACAACCTTATATCAGTCGAAAAGGCATCCAATTTTGCATTCACCCATGACAATTAATATGGGTCATTCCATTTGAAAAAAAAAAAGTTTTTCAACTCGTAAGATTATTAAATGTAGGACTCAGTATTTCCAAGTCTGAATACACGTTTTGCTTACAGATGACAAGATAGAGTAATTTATGCCAAAACGAACTGTGAAAACTGCAGGTTTCTAACTCTTACGGTTTAGTTTAGACGCTATCTAGAGAGCTGGAATCGTGATTTTGTTCAAAAACAACTGATTATCTCGCAAACAGTAAGTTTTAAACATCATGTACATGTAATAAACTCTACCTAATATTAACCAAGGAATTCAAAAACGCAATAATATACAGGGTGTTCAATTTAAAATAACAAATTTATATAGCGTCCATGCGAAATGGAATATCCTGGAAAGCTAAAAATATTTTCTTTACATGGCCTACATGATTCCAGGCAACTTTTATTAAAACCATTTTTTTTATATAAATTTTACAGTTACAGAGTTACAGAAGAATCCCTCTTAAGTGGAACATCCTGTATATAGTTATTTTGGTTTTTGATTGCAAAGTTTCGCATTTGTATTCATGAATGGGAAAAGTAGATTTCTATTTATACAGGAAGCCCCCAATTAACAAGTTTTATTAACGAAGATAACTCTATTTAAGGACGTATTAGTTTTTCTAATTATGTTCCTTCAGGAATAACTTTAGATACGACACTATAAGACATCGAGGACAACGGTTATGCGGTTAACATTAAGATTCTTCAAAGAAAAACACATGCTCAGATAACATTTTTTATTTCAGATGTATTTCATTAGAATCAAGTATTTCTTATTTAGTCCATCTGGGTATCTGTATCGGGTTGGGTAAAACGCATATGATCGGAAATTTTTGCTTTAACGGCTTTTAAATAACATCAGAAATAATAATTTTTCTATGCAAATAAAAAAAAAACGTGGGCTTAATTTGCCCAGGGCAAATGTGTAAAAATGCTTACAAAATAGTGGAAGTAGACGAGTTCGAAATCGATTTTGAAGAAGACATTTCAGAAGAAAGTGCAAGTGAACTCGACAATCAGATTTCAGAGTCGTTAGAAAATGGTATTTTGCAGTCGCAGGACGAGTGAATCGACGACGAAATAGATTGTGATAATACTGATGAGGCATTTGAAAAATCACCAACTAGTAAAAGAATTAGATTAGATTAAATGTAAATAAAAATTGAAATAAATAGTTAAGTAAACGAAAAAATTAAAATTATAATTATTCACAATTTATTTTTTTCTTGAAAGATTTTTAGAAATTTATCGTACAACTAAAAATTAATACCAATTTTCAGTTGTTTATTTAAATAATTATTGTTTAAACAATTTTATAATATTTAAACAAACTTACTAGTATTACCTGGTGCAACATGCAAAAATTTTGGTCGTGAATATTAACATAGTAAATAAATAAACATAATAAATTAATCATTTTTTAAAGTAACTGTTTATCGGCATGTCAAAAGTCCAATAATTAATAATAAAAGGTAGTTGAAAATATGATAATTGAATTTTTTAAGTTGCGAGACATCGATTTAAAAAAAAATCATCGAAATTGGTCCATTAGAAGCTGAGATAAGTGAAATTTTTCCGAGCGTCGCAGTTTTGAACTCGAGAATTCAGATCGGAGTAGCTGTGTGTTTGCTCCCCCCACCACTGATACCTCATTGATTTCACGCGGTCTTGAATATCTTTGAGTGACATTTTAAATGGGACGCCCGTGATTGCAAATTTTGAAAATTTATATCTGGAAAGTACTCGGAATGACAAACCTATTAGTTCAAAAAACAGCCCTTATACCCTTATAGTTTTGCTGTAAATAAGGGTTAACTTTAACGGGCTATAACTCCGAAAATAATGGGCGGATCATCAGGTTTTTTTTTAAATACTCGTCTTTCCGAGTACTTTCAAACCATATTTTAAAATAAAAAAAAATTTAAAAAAACATTAAATTATTGCAATTGTTTATAAGCGTGAAAATTGCGAAAATGTTTAAACAATCACCACGGCTCACCTAATCGTCCGATTTGAATTTTTCAAAAAGCATTTTAAAGCTTGAGAGCTCTTCTTTTTGTGGTGAAATTTTCAAGTATTCAAAGGCTTTAGATTTTTAGAAATTTGATTTTGAAAATTTTTTAATTTAAAAAAAAAAAAAAAATTAAACAATTATTATGTAAAAACTATCGAACCGAATTGGATGAAATTTGGTGTGATGATTCTATGCACTAAGAAGTTTAATTGGGAAAAGTATGAAGATCCTAGGTATTATTCAAGTGTCTGAAAAAAATTGACAAATAAACTAGCATTTTTTGCAATTTTTTAAATGATTTTTCCGATTTTTGCAATAACAATAATTATTTTTTCGAATTGCAACTAACTCTATCTTGATCAAAATTTAATTACAAAACTTTTTTTCCTCTTCCATTTTTGTCTAAAATGAATAGTTGCTAAGTTGTCGCCGAGAAATCCAAGATAAAAATGATTTTTTTTGCAATTTTTTTATACTTTTTTGCATTAAAAATTAAGCCCACGTTTTTTTTTTATTTGCATAGAAAAATTATCATTTCTGATGTTGTTTAGAAGCCGTTAAAGCAAAAATCTCCGATCATATGCGTTTTACCCAAGTATACCCTTTTTAAAACAGATACCGCCTGGTCTAATTAGCGAAAAGAGAAGCACTTCAAGAAAATTGTTGCTCCATTTCAGGAGTACATCTACGACAAATTTAGTTGATTCTAAGGCAAGCAGTTTATGAAATCTTGCTAAAAAATCATTATAATTTTAACCAGGCGACTGATAATTTTTAAAACTTTTTTTTGCTACTATCAACTTCTCTACGCATATTCCTATCACAAGTTTTCAATATTGTTTATTAAAAAAGATTCGAGATCCTCCTATTTCGAGCAATGCCGGTCTCGTGCAAGAGCTTGCCTTTTTCAACTCCGACGTAGGAAATAGTTAATTAAAAAGTTGGTCGAATGCGAAACTTATCAAACACAAAGTAGGACGCGAACGGGGTCTGCCTTTTTGAATGACATCCACAAAGAGAGCTTGTATTTGAACAAGCACTGCGTGTACCAGACTTTTTATCAAACGCGCGCTCCCAGAAACGGAAATGCGAACCGAATAAAAAGAAATCGACGCCTTTGAAGGAATCCACAATTAAAATGCAGTATTACTGCAATAAAGATAAACTTCCAGTTGAAAATATATGAGTGATGAGTTATTTTAACGGTTTGGGGTATTTAGAGCGCCTTTCACTAGCTAACTAGGTGTGTTGGGAGAGAAATCTCACCTGGCATCCTCGTCGTTCCTAGCGATTCTCATCCCCTTGCCGCCCCCTCCTGCTGACGCTTTTATCATAACTGGGTAGCCTATATTTCTGGATATTTCTACGCAATGGTCAGCGTCTCTGACGATGCCGTCGAAACCTGGGATGGTGTTGACGCCTGCCGCCATTGCTAACCTTTTGGACTCCAGTTTGTCGCCCATTCCTGTGATAGCTTTAGCGGAAGGTCCTATGAAGGCCACTTTTTCGTCCTCCTGCAACGTAAAATGGCTATTTTATAGCTTCCTAGTGTACGAAACACTTTTAATAATTCCTTTAAATAAATAAACTTTTACAATTACAGCTATAAGTGTACTTGTTATTTCATTTCTTAATTTGCCTAATTATATTAATAATACCACTCTTACTGAACAATCTTCACTTCATTTACTAAATAATTTTATAAACTTTTATGACTTCCATCAATACAACAATATTCTAAATCACAATAACAGGATTCTTGACCTCGTTCTCTCTAATGTCAGATGTTCCGTTTTCCACTCTTCTGACGTGTTGTTGCCGGAGGATCCTCATCATCCGGCTTTACTAATAGACTTCTTTGTTNTGGTTTTGTTGAAGGGCGTTCCACGGTTACCAATTTGGCGTGTATGGCGCAGTATATCCATGAGGTGATTGATAGGGGAGGTCAGGTGGATGTCTTGTACACGGATTTTTCGAAGGCTTTCGACCGTTTTGACCACGGTTTATTATTGTCGAAACTAGATGCCGCGGGGTTGGGTTCTTTATTGTTGGAGCTCATGGCCTCTTACTTATCAGACAGAACTCAGTTTGTCCAGATTATGGGAGAAAGGTCATTGGAATTTGCACAATCCTCAGGGGTTCCACAAGGTTCTCTCCTGGGGCCCTTGCTGTTTACGATTTTTATTAATGATATAGCATTGGATCTGGATGTGCGTTTCCTATTATATGCGGATGATATGAAGATATTTTGTCCCATAGCCAATGAACGTGATGCACGTAATCTGCAGAGAAATTTGGATTTGGTAAACTCCTGGTGCGCTGACAATAGATTACCTCTTAATGTGGCAAAATGTAATGTCATGTCCTTCAGTCGGCAGTTGAGGCAAATTTCGTATGACTACCGATTACACGGGTCCAGCCTAGTTCGGCCAAACGTTATTAAAGACCTAGGAGTCTATTTCGATCCAAAACTTTCTTTCAGGCAGCATATGGATTTTATAGTTAAATCTGCCTACAAGAACTTGGGTTTTGTCGTGCGGAATATGGCGGGTTTTCGGAATCCCAACACTTTTAAACTGCTATACGGTGCACTGGTCAGATCTAGACTGGAGTATGCGTCTTTGGTTTGGACTCCTATTTATTCTATTCATGTGTCATGCTTAGAAAGAGTTCAACGTCGATTTTTTAAACTAGCGGTGTTCGCGCTTGATGGTCACTACCCGCCGAGGGGCTTTCCGCAGGAGGCATTTTTCGAACGCTTCAACATGTGCAGTCTCGCAGAACGCCGAAAAATGTATTCTGTTATATTTTTGTTTAAATTGCTCAATAATTTAATAAAATGTGAGAACTTGTTGAGGCTAGTAGATTTTCATGTTCCTCGAGTGAATGCTAGAAATAGGCATCTTTTGGAATTAAAAAAAGGTCGAACCAATTTGTACAAAGCAGCGCCTGTTCATCAGATGTGTGCCAGCTACCTAGAAGTTGAATCACGGTTAGATTTATTCTGTTCTACCATCAGTTGTATTAAGCAGGTTTATAATGTACGCAACTGATTTTATTTTGTGACTTTTATTGTACTTTAGTTTTGTCTATTGTCTGTTTTTAATTAGTGACTGTTATTT